TAAAATAATCCGAAAGTGTAAGTGTAAGTGTTTAAAGTGTACTTGAATGAGTTTTATTTTAGGATATTAGCAATAGTAGCTTATTTTGTAAAATAATTGTAGATCAAGTATCATTTGCTAATTAGGTACCTTTTGATAACTACAGTTTTGCCTTTAAGATATGCAATTGATAGCAGATTTTTGAATGAAATGTTATCTGACAGTTTGCGCTTTATGTATTATGTAAAGACAAAAAGTGTTATTATAAAGAAGAAAATATTATTGTACAAATAATATTTTTTTTTCGTAAAAATAATATTTTGTAAGATTTACACCAATATTATATGGAAGCACTAAGATCCAATTTGTACCATTATTGGCGTTTTAAGATCTCAATTGGTAATTAACATTACACGGTCTTTCCTGACACTCGTTTAAATAATATTTTGTTATGATTTGATATTTCTTTTAGCTTATTTTACTGCGAAATTGCAAAACCTGGTAAAAAGCTGGATTTTGCAATTTAGTGCTTAAAATATTACAAATAAGATTATCTGCACTTCTACTGTACTATAATGCAAATGGGGTGAGCATAAATGACTTTTATTTCACCTTTTTTAAAAAAAAATCGCTCTATAGCACCCTAAGGAAAATAAAATATGAAACGAACGTCAATAAAGCCTTAATTAGAAAGTGACTCCAATAATTCTAGTGTAAAAAGAAAGTAATGGAAGTAGAAGAGGCGAAAATTAAAACATCAGACCGTAGAAAAAATGACATGTAATTAAACATTAAAAAAGTATTAACGAGTGTACTAAAACTCTGGCAAGCGCGAGCAAAATGTCAAATGTAAATGTTTGTCATCGAGCGAACATGAACGGAGCATCAAGTTCGCCAGTGAACATGGAATGAATGAAATAATACGAGATTATCGAGCTCGTCAATAAATTAGTATACTCTCAATTAAAGAGCTTCAAAATACATTTTAATTTACTTTTTCATCTTAAAACCCTTGGATCACCTTTAAAAAATTATTTTATTAGAACACGGGTGAAAAATCTCATATATAGGGTGTTCCATTTTAAACAGTCAATTTCTGGAAATCACGAGATTTTAGAGAAAAATACTGAAGATAAAAGTTGTATGACTTCAAGGAAGACATAAAATGGTATCATTGGTTTGATCTTGAATGACGTTGTCAAAGTCAAAGAAAAGTTACTTTAAATTTTTTAAATGAAACCCCCTCATTTTTCATAGCATATTCTTGTAGCTTATCTCGAAAACTTTTCAAAACATTGTAACAAAATATTTTTCCATTAAACACTTTTCGAGTTATGAAGCTTGAAGGTTACAATACCGCCACATTAGCATTATTCAAGGTGTCCAAATAATGGTTAAAATCTTTTAAATATTGTTCAGGATCATGACAACATATGTTAAAGTATAAATATAAAAATATGTGAATGTCAAAAATATAAAAAAAAAACAAAAACAAAAAAAACGAAATAAGGATAGTCTCCACCTCCTTGTCGGTTATTCCAAGGTTCAATAAAGAACGAGATAAAATTTATCAGTTTGGATTTGTCATCTTGGATTCATCATTTTGAATTCTATAATTTTTACATTGGATTTACGTTGGTTTTAGCGATATAAAGACCTTGATCTTATCACCTCCAAAATTACTTATCACCTCTCAAATTTCAAAACACTATTTATTACATAATTGAAACTTATTATATTATATAACTTATTATATAACTGAAAATTTACTGTCATTTAATTTTTTCAATTTTTGAATATTTGTTATAATTAAAAATTAAAAATAAATAGTATTAAATATTAAGTATTATAATAATAAATATTTTTCATTTTTTGACCAACATAAAATGTTATTCATGTAACAAAGTGGGTTACGTCAAAAGGTTTGCATTTCGAATTTATTAAAAGCAAAAAAACAATAATGTATGTAAAGTCGATACAGAAACTAATAAAAATAATAAAAGCGTTTACATGATATTATAATAACATTAGAGACTTCTACGGAATTATTACAGTAATAGTTAATATTTATGAAAAATCGCTGTTTAAATCAGAAAACACAAAGAAATTTTACACAGCATAATAATTAACAGAAAAATTCAAAAAGGAGGAGGGTCAATAAGGCCAATTTTTGGGCTCGAACGTCGCATCTTTTCGATTGTATTTCTTGAAAGTAGATGTCAAGAGCTTTCCAAAACGCCTTATAGAAACCCTTTTACGTTGGGTTAAGTAACAGTTATGATGGATCACAGTTAGAGTAAAATTGCTGAATGGGGAGTATAAGTTTAGATCACAAAATGTTTCAAAGAAAGGAAATTGTTTTGACACTGCTTACTTAAAGGTTTTTGGGGTCGCTGATTACGAATCTGATGTCAGTTTTCAAAAATACAAGATGGCGGATCCAATATGGCGGATGAGTTTTATAAAAATTATTCAAATTTGCCTGAAACTTGTTACTCGGGGGTTTTTGGGGTCGCTGATCACGAAGGTGATGCCAGATTTGCAAAAGACTGAATACGTGGGAATTTGTTAATTACAAATCTTATGTCATTTATCAATGGACCTAGTTTTTCACCCTCCTCTTTTCAAATACGGGCTTGGGACCGTCAA